ATAGCTTATTTTGAGAAAGCATAGCAAATATACCTGAACGAGTGGGAAATCTAAAGTAAACCTGAAATCATAACTTCTAACTGCATTATATCTTCTTTATAGATTTTGTATGTTCCTGACCCAGACTACATTTCTAGTGTGGACAGCTCCCCCTCTCTAAGTCCTATAAGTCCCCTATCACCTACATCTTCCGAAGCAGAGCTTGACAAGGCTACAGTAAATGTAGGTATACCTGTTGACCTTGAAATTAATTTTCCCTTACAAAATAAATGCTACAGATGCTATGCTTTCTTCTGAAACTATCCTTTCATTTTGAGGAGAAAGTACTTTATAACACTTGGAGTTGAAAAGTAAAATAGTACCTTTTTAAAGTAAATACAAGCTTTCAATCTTCGTAAATGGCAGTTTTCTATGTGAAAACTGATTTGAAGGCAAGTTATTTGTAGTAAAATACTATCCTTGCACACTGATATCTCATGTACTAGCTCCTGTTGGATTTCTATATTTGTTACCTTTCAGAACTAGTTATGTATTTGTCTCTAGTCTTATTGGTAGTTTTTGTAGCAATGATAAATTGGCAAGAATACTTAAGTAACAAAAAGGTAAGGGCTCCCTCAGCTCCCTGTAGAGGTGTGGGAGGGGGTTCTCTAGCTTCATTTGGCAAAACAAAATAAAGAAGAAAAAAAAGTCTGTTTCAGTGAAGGGCTAATACAGAGCTGATAATAGCTGCCTTCTAGTCAGTAGTTCTACCTTTGTAGACTTTCAAATATTAAAATTGTTTAGCCATTGAAGCTGCTCTGTAATTCAGCTCAAATGTAGATTTTGGCTAGGAGCTAAGTTTGTAAAAGCATGTCTTTCCAGGAACATTGGTTTGCTGTCAACAGAATTCTATGGGGAGAACTCCAACCAGGAAGATGCAGTATCGGAGCCGGAGCTTCTCTGCAATTCATGCAGTTATGACCTTATCCAGATGTTTTTTAACATGTCACTACTATTCTTTTCCCAGTTGTTAATATTTTTTCTTTCAAATTAACGAATTTTCTTGGTAGTGCGCAGTCAAGCTGTCAAATGTCTACTCCAGGATTCTGTGTGCTCAAAGTTTAGGAAGGTTTGAGGTTTTAAGCATTTCTGTATTTATTTGCTTGCATGACTTGGTCCAGAGAACTTTAAATACAAAGGTATTGCTTTGTTGCTGAATAGGCTCCCGAGCTGCATTACAAAGCCTGTGATGACTCTTTCTGAAAATTACTATTTGGTTTTGCTGCCATACCTTTACTCTGACATAGTATGCCTATTCTCGTGAGTTGTCTGCTGTCATTTGTACTGAATAATTTCTTTTATGTTTTATGGCAAACTGAAGGTATTGTAGCACAGCAAATAGACTAGTCTGCAAGAATACGTTCTTCTGTATTGGTCTCAGAATGACTGTAAATGCTAGGATAGGCCTGCCCATACAGCATATGTCATGAGAAGTTACTCAAGGGAAAACTGTTTGTTTTACTACTAGAAATCAGAGCTCTTCCTACAGTGCACCAGATCCCATGTCAGAAAACACCTTATTCTTGCTTTTGTGGATTATTTTGTATATGCTTGTTTGCACAGAGTAGATAAGGAGACTTAACAGTGTAACCATACCTGTAATTTTTTTTAAACATTTTATTGACTGTTTGCTCATAGCAGAGATAAAAGCTTGAAAGTGTAGAAGAAACAAAGTAGATTAAGGTATTTTAAAAGTTGAAATCCTCTTATGCAAAAGTTCATGTTCTTTAGCATAGACTGTTTGATGTTGGCAACAATTAGAGTGTTACATTTCATTTAACTGACACTATATTGTTGCAGAACTATTTAGTGCATCTCACTACAAGTATTTCTTAAATGCTTCAGGGAAAGTCAAACGAATGAGCCATGTGACAATATACATTTGAGGTCTTTCAGAGTGCATGCAAGAAAGGAAGGGATGTTCCTAGATACAGTTTGTCAAAAGAAAGCAGAGAACGGAAATCACTTGCACTTGTCAGTGTGGAGTCTCTGTGTGTTTGATTTTTTTTTTTTTTTTTTACTTCTATTTGAGCAGTTAAGGCTGGAGGGTTTTGTTCTTAATCATAGCACCTGTTTTCCATTTTTCTTTTTTTCTCTCTTTGATTGTTATCCTTATGAACAAGAGAAATACTAGCATACGTTCTCTAATGCTCTGTATTGATGTCATCTTTGACTTTCCTCCAATTTTGACTCTAGATTTGCAGTTTAAACTTAAGCACATTTCAAGGTAAAGAGAATATGTTACTCTGCCTGTATAATGTAAAGGGGTCTTCTCTCTGTGCTATGGTCATTGAAATCAATGAGTTCTTGCTAGAAATTGAATGAAATGGCTAACCAACATCTGAACTTCTGTTGAGGAGAAGTATAAACTATGATGTGCTTTGTTCTTTTGTTTCTCTCATGAAATATTGGAGTAGCTTAACACAACCATGTGACTAAATACAAACCAGCATGTGGCTAAGAAGACCTGCATAACCCTGTTGAGTTTTTTATGTTGCTACACTTAAGCTAAGGTTTCAGTGTGTACTTCAGTAAGTTTGTTAATGTCAGTGTTTATGTCCAGCTTAGATTTTTAAGCCTTTCTTATCCTGCTGGGTTTTGTGAAGCGTTTCTTCATTCAGCAGTTAGATGCACATATTTGAGAAGATCAATAAGCTTTACTACCTATAAAACTTTAAATCTACTTCATAATGACAAGGATGTTGTCATTAAATTTGAAAGTCTGCCACCAGTATTATTCTTTCTTCTGTGTTGTGTGGCAATATGAATGAGAAATATCTGTCTTATTCACAGTGGACTTGGATATCAGCTGGGGACTCTTGCAGTCACAATGGTAACCACATAATTTATAAGAGAAAGGCATATATAGAAGGAGAATTCACCTCTAAGAAGTTTACTTTTTAATTAAATCTTCAGTAGCTTTTTCAGCAAAACTCAATTCAATGTTCTATAAGTTGTTTTGGTGTGTTGCTTGCTTTCTAACTTTCTAACAGGCAAAGGCTAAAGTAGTGCCAGAGGGATGATGAACTGAAAAGAATTGTGTATACTATTCCTGGATATGATTAAAGGCATTTAGCTGTACTAGTGAATAGAACCGAACAGAAAAGCAGAAAACCAAAGGGAACATAAAAGTTCACAGGTTTTATAAATAGTAATATTTTATTAGTGACTAAAAATAGCAATTACATATGAAATTGAAGTCTTTAAATGTTGTTTAAGCTCCAAAACAGGGTTGCCATGACTTAAATAGGCTTTTGTGCAGTCTCATTACTACGTGTAGCTTTTATTTGAAAACAATTTTTTCCCTATTTGTCCTGTCCCTGGTAGGGTCCTATGTTCACTACTTTGTTGGATGTACTGTTAGACAGCAAGACGGATAACTCTTCCTATTATCTGCCCAGGAAGGTCTTGAAGGAGATCCTCTGGAAGTTGCATCTAGGCATATGAAAGACAAAGATGGTTGCAAACAGGCAGGATGAATTTTCCAAGGGTGTATCATGCCTGACCAAAGTGATTGCTTTCTGTGATGAAATGACTGGCTCAGCAGATGAGGGAAGAGCAGTGCATGATACTTACCTTGCCTAGAGCTAAGCCCTTGACGCTGTCCCAAAGCAGCCTTGTTACAATACTGGGGAATTGTGAACTTGAATGGGTGGACTACAAGATGGGCTTGAAAAATTGACAGGATCTTTGGACTCTGAGTGATTCAGCATTTGTGTGTGTGGCTGGTTATTTTTGGTTGGTTGTTTTCTGTGGTGGTGGTGGACAGCTACAAATCCTTGAGGATTCCCTATTGGGGCTAATATTGTTTATAATATGCCCATCAGTGACCTGAATGGTGGGACAGAGGGCAGCATGCACTGTCAAGCAAGCTTGGGGTGGAGTGGCAGCAAAAATTAGGGAACCTGGTCATTATACTGGAGGGAAGGGCAAAGGCTGCTCATCAGAGGGACATCAAGAGGCTGGAGAGATGAAGTAACAGAAACTTCATGAAGTTCAACAACAGCTAAGACCTTGCCTACCTGGGGCAGAAAGAGCCCCATGTGGCAGTACGGGGTGAGGTTTGGCTAGCTACATAGCAGCTTTGCAGAAAAAGACTTAAGGGCCAGGGAGAGGTTGGGACTAGTGTCCTGGTGGATATGTTGAACAATGTCCACTTGTCATGGTGAAAGCTAATCACATACAAGGTGACAGATGAAAGAGAAATCCAAACAGGTTAAGGAAATCTATTGTTCCTCTGTCTGGGGAGGGCTTGTGAAGCTGCACTTGCGGTGTTGTGTCCACTTCTGGCACCTCCAGTACAAGCCAGTGTGACATGCTGGAGAGAGTCCAGCGGAGGGCCGTTAAGATGGTCAGGGAATAAAAACATGAGACACAAGGACTGGCTGAGAGCTGGTGGGTGGCTGGTTGTTTTTTTTTTTTTCAGTCTGGAGAAGACAATGCTAACGGACAACCTGATTTCTGTGTTGTACTAACCAGCAGAATAGGTTAGAGGAAGGAGCAGAAGAGTCAGATTCTTCAGAGGTTCAGAGTAAAACGATGGGCAGCAACAGCTGCAAGTTGCTGCACGAGAGGCCCTGGTTAAATAACAGGAAAATATTTTTCAGAATGAGGATGGTTGAACACTGGAGCTGGTTTCTTGGAGAGGCTATGAAATCTCTAGCCTTGAAGACTTAAACTCAACTGGGAAGGTCATGAACAACCTGATCTAATGTAGGCTTAGGACTGCTTTGAACACAGGTTGGACTAGATGACCTTCCAACATATGCTTCCATAGTGTGTAGTATTATGGAAGTATAACAGAGGACATTTATCAGGACTTCTGTTGAACTTGAAAAATAATCCTTTCTGCTAACTTCTGCTCAAATTTTGCATGTGACTGTATTGTATGGTTTCCTTATGTGAATTCTGATCATTATTTTGTTGTTTAGTCCCAGGTTGATTCTGAATATCTTTGCCCACTTGAATTTCTTATCATGGGCTTGTTAAGCTGTGCTTCATTAGTTATATGCACTGTCAGATCAAAGCAGTCTTTTAAACTGCAGTGGATTTGGAACATTATTTTTACATTTGATTTCATGTCCAAGAACAAACAAAAATTACGCAACAGAAAATCTCTTAAAGTTAATATTGAAAAAGGCAGGTTGCTAAGTTGTTGGGTTTTGGTTGTTTTTTTTATATTCCCTTTTAGGATCCAGATGGAGTCCAACGGAAAGAGTCGGCTGCTTCACCAGCGCATGCATGTGTTCGTCCTACAAGAGTGGTATCATCCACCTCCGAAGAGGAGGAAGCGTTTACAGAGAAATTTCTAAAAATTAACTGCAAATACATCACTAATGGCAAGGTACTTAAACATTCAGGCTTTACTGTTACCGTATGGGATGTGAAAATAAAGTGCATTTAAACTATAACCCCACAGTAAAATTAGTTACTGGTAGATGGATCAGCTTATATACATATATATGTCTATATAAATGTATTCATTTTCTCATTTTATCACTGTTTCCTTTGGATTCCCAGACCACTTGTTTCTTAGATGTGATGCAAGCAGTTAATATGAGATTAACCTGTGACAAACTTCCAGTAGCCATACGGCTATGTGATTCTCTTGTGTTGAGGGCATGAGGTCTGTTTGTTCCTTATGTTGGTATCTCTCATAAGTAAATCTCTTCATTTACAATGGCGAAGAACATGCCTTAAACCATAAGGAAGTGTGTAGTTGGGTAGCTTCACTTCCATTTTCCTAAAGCAGAACAGTCTGAGCAGAATTAAGTTCTGATTCTGCAAACTTCTGTATTGGGTATAGATGGTAGAAATCTTGATTATATTTTTTTAAATTGTTTTTACCTTTTTTTAAATTTTTCTTTCTTTGAAGCAGTATTAAAGGTCTCTCAGTAGTGTCATTACACAAATGCCTCCAAGTTAGTGGCACTTAACTTCCATTCATCTCATAGAGGCACAAGTCTTATGCAGATTTTTAGGGACTGAGATCATGTCAAAAGACTACCTCATAACGCTTTAGGGAAAAAAACAAGATGTATTGCTCTCCCACCCCACAGAAAAATTACTGTTAGACACTTTAATCATGAAAAATCATGGCTTCGCTCAAGCTGAATGAATGCATAGGAACTCAAACTACTTGTAGTACTTCCCAAACTTCAGGTGAAGCAGGTATTTATATACAAATGCTGCTGATTTCGTGTTGCTCAGCAATTGGTTTGCAGGTATGTTAAACTAATGATAAACAGATTAATGACAATCTACTAAAACTGCATTTTTCTTTTAATTGGTTTTGCTGATGGAAAGGATTGCAGAGCTATATATGTCTAGACTTGAAACCTTTTGACAGTACCTGTACATTGGCAAAAGCTGTGTGTTACAAGTTCGTAAAACAAGTACTGGAAAAGCCTTATTTGTTACTTTGTTCTACTTTACAGTTCATTTTCTTTACTCCTTGCATTCTGTCCCTACATGACTTTTCATAGGTTGATTCTAGACAAGTGATTACTTCTTGGTTTTAAGCACTCTGATGCAGAGGAATTGAGAACTGTGAGCCTCTATTAGAAATTGGCCATACTGGAAAAGTACTATCTAGGGTTAAAACTTACAGCATATTTACGTGCCATAATTTTTTATCACGCTATTATGGAGAGTATTCACAACATCTGTCTTTGACTTGCATCTAATAAAGCCTATTTTTCTAAGAGCTTCAAGGAGAATTCCGCTTCTGAAGAGTTGCATAATCCACCACAGTATCGGCCCATACTTGGGGAGGTGGATGGGGGGAGAAATGAATGCCAACTTGCTCAGATTTTAGTGCCAGATTTCTTAAGTTTAGCATGTAATTTAGCCTTTGTGTCACATGTGGTAGGAATGTCCTCTGGCATGTTGTCTTACCCTCTCCTCTATACATTTCCTAATGATGCAGGATGATAAATCTTCAAAAGTTTTCTGGTGAAAGCTTAAAAGATTCACATCTGATTCGCACTGTGGAGGTGATTTTTGAAGCTCGTTGTTAACTGTTTTATAGAGCTTCAGACGAAGTCTGTCGTCACTGTGACGCTCGTAAACTAAAACGTAGCGAAAGCCTCTTTCTCAATGTGTTTAGTTTCACATATGCGAAAGGGCTTGTATTAAGATAAGACTGTCTTATTTCTTGCTTTTCAAGACTGCTTATTCTGTATGTGTTTGGAGTTGGTTTTAGCCACACTTGTGACTTCCTGGACAAGGACACAGGAATTCTAGGAGATGCAGTGGTTGGAACCTGGAAACATTTGCTCTGTTACAATATTTGCTCTCTGTTATCTGGTTGTAGCTACTATTAGAGGCAGGGTGTTGGGCACAGTTAGAAACAGGCTGGTGTGAATATGCCACATCCTATCAGACAATAAATCAGCCTGACCAGTGTGCAGCAGAGTCACACCTTAACTCCCTGTTTATTGCTTATGTAGGCATGCCCTTTCTGGCAGCCAGGCTGTTTGCTGCTTTTGTAGAAAAGTATGCTGCTCTGGTTTTTCATTCTTTGCACTGTTTGTTGGAGGCAGAAAAAAGTTACCTTAAACAGTCTGCTTGATTGAAACTGAAGCTAATAGAGGAACTTTGAAATTCTTTGTTCTTTCTTATGCTTGCTAGGTTACTTGCCAGGTTACTTGCCTTGTTTTGAAAAGCAGTAGGTAAAGGAAAATTACTAATACTAAGGCTTAAAAAAAACCCACAAAACAACCTGGCAATATGGGCACAAAAAGCACAAACATATTGTTCATGAAATGAAAAGGAGGACACTGATGAGGTTCAAGACATATACAAGAAGCAAAGACTAAAACTAAATTTTTATCCTTATGATAAAAGCTTCATAAAACATGAATTGTAGTTGCTGTTCTACGTTGTGTGTTCAAGACTAATGGAATTATTTAGAGGTAACTTCTGCTTGAAAACTGCTTGTCAGAAGTCCTCTTAAACCTTCTCAAAAGCATGTTTTACTGAACTGCTTAAATGTCTGGGTTCACCAGTGTCATAAAGTTTGGCTCTAATTCTCTCTTTATCACGATTGTTTGAATTTCTATCTCAGATATTATATAGGATTTATTGCTCCCACTTCCTGAGGCTTAAGTAACTTTAATGGAAAGAAGTTAAAACCAGTTCAGAAACGAATATGTGCATATAGGTACATTTTAATATAATTTCAATATGCACGGTTTTGCTTAGCTGGATTAATATTTTTCTGGACCAGCTTTAAGGCTAAAGAGATCTATTTTTAACAGCCTGGTGTGTCCGCATGGTTTTCAATAATAAAGTGGCTCAGCATTTCTCCTTGAGGTTGTTAAAACTGAACTTCACCTGAATAGAAATTCACTTCATGTCTTTAGAAACGGTCTTACATACAGGAAACTTGACTTCTACAAGTGGTGTTTTGGGGAGTTTTGCTCAAGAACCAGAAGTTCCTATAACAGTATCATGCTGAACTACATAGTAGCTATGTGCAAAGTCTAATTTTTACTTAAGGTTCATTGACAAGAGTTTTTGGTACTTTTTTCCTCAACAGCTGGTTAGAAATGTGGTCCGAGAGAAACAAGTCACTGGTTATTTGGTGGAGGATGTCCTGAAAACCTGTTTCCCACAGTCCTCTATTGAAAATTTAGCTGCTTACAGATGTTCTCGTTCTTTTTTTTTTTTTTCCCCCAGGACTAGAAAATTAGGAGATCAGAGCAAATGCTGGCAGTATATTGCAGTCATGTAGGAGTTTGTAGTGTGCATGCCATTGCCCAATCTGTGTCTCTAGCTACTTTATTGGTACAAATAATTCTTAAAAAATATTTTGAAAATTACATTTTTATAAAATAAAGTCAAAGAGCTGTTTTGAAGATGTTCAACAAATATTTGATTACCATCTAAAGGATCTGTGCTGAAGACACAGCATGACAGAGCATGACCACAAAGGAGAAGCTGGGCTCATCTCCATGTGTTGATACGGGTAGGTGAGGGCATAGGAAGGGCTTTACTTAGTAAATAAGACCCCATGCTGTTCTTTACTCTGAAGAATATATTCCCATTGAAAATATTTTCAGCAGCTCAACCAGGACAGAGGGAGCTTTGGAACTTTCTCCCTGCTTCGAAAGCAAGGAACCAAGGTGATTTTATGGGGAGCAGACTTTAGGGTATCGGTAGTCTTCAGCGCTTGTAAGATAGTAGGGGAGGTTAGGTTATTGAAAGTAAGTCACCAAAGAACAGTATGCTGTAGGTTTTTTCCTGGCATCAGTGTTGTTACTGATCTCTGGATGTTTTGTAGAACAACTGTGACATCTGCTGCCATAGTGCATGAATGTGTATGAGTAACCAGAAAAGTCTGTTCAGAACCTAAAATGAGTGCGTGGTACTAAAATGCTCAAGAGGTCATTGCTGGCTTACTCTGAGACAATACTTCTGAAGTATATTTATTATAGAAATGCTAACATAGAAGTCTGTCCGATCTATAATGGCAAACCAACAAGATAATGAAGTTTTAGGTATTCTTCTTTAAAGAGGATATGTCATTTTTATCTTTACCGATGCAAAACAGTGGGTTTAGCTCTCAAAGGGTGGAGCTGCTTCAGTTTCCATCTTTCAGGGAAGACTAGCGTAATGTAATGAGCCATTCTTGACCGGTGGTTGGCTAGATACACATATGCTCGCACTTGCATGTTGTGTTCTGATGTTACCCAATTTTTTCTCACAGAATCAACAGCACTTTGTTTTTGTCCGTTCTAGAAACCCCATCTGTTGAGTAATACATGTTCCACAGGTTTTTAAGAAAGCTTTTCTCCTGCAAACAACTTAGAAGGTGGTAAAGACAGAAACTGTGTTGTCTTATAAAAGTCACAGAAATAGAGAAACGCTGACATGTCTGAAAAAGAATAATTGAAACTTGGGGCCAAACAAAATAGTTCTGTATCTGGCTGTTACCTGAGCTTTACCTGGCTACCTAGGTTAACATGCAGTGGTCCTTGGTAACAATAATAAAAAAAAATGACAGAAATATTAATGATGTTTAGTGTAATACTAAGAATCTCATTTGTAGCCTGTAAATTTTGACGCAGCAGTTCTTCTCTAGGGAGGTACCCTGAAGTGTTGATGTAGCAACTGTGGACCATATCAAATAACTTGTGAGCCAGAAATGTTGCATTGGTCTGCCTTCTGTTGTCTTTTAAATAGATAACAGTGAACTAGGTCCTCTTTGAGGAGCTATAAAGCCAGTGTTTTCAAGATACCTGTATAATCTTTCAACTGCTTACAGTCGTTGCAAGTGAAGTGTTTAGTCAGCTTCTTAGTCAAGTACATGTAAAAGCCTGATAGTTCCAAAGGTTTAATTCTCTATTTCTCAGTGTAATAAATTTTAAATGGAATTACACTTTCAGATAATTTTTATGCTCAGTATTTACCTGTTGGTGTTGAGGGTTTCTTCTGAGACCAAGATGAGCAAGCTTCTAGGTTTCTAGCTGTGCTTTTGGAGGTAGGCTTTAGAATCTTCCGTGTGTGTCAAGGACAACTGCCTGATGTACAGGGTTAGGATTTTTCCTGCCATCAGACAGGTCATTGTCAGACTGTTCTAGGAAGCTTCCATTTACAGTAGAAGGTTTCTTAGACTTGTTTCCCTTCCGTAGTCAGTAGTCTTGCACACTTCTTTGGCTGAACGTTTGCCTGCAGAAAGATTTTTATCTACTGTTCCTCCGTGTCTGAGTCTAAACACTGCTAGGGTGCTATATAAGTTCTTTAAACACATTCAAATTTGCCTTGGAAACAGGCTTTTGTCTTGGATATTGATGACATTTCTTGCACATTCTGACAAGCCTCACCTGTGGGAGGGGTAAGTCGGTGTTTTCTGAATTGTTAAAATTGAAGCTGAAGCAAGGTAACTGAAATGAGATGTGCAACTGGTTCTTCATACATGTTATTCTAATGTTATGACACTCTAGTGTTCAGATAAGCAATGTAAAATTGACTTATGAAACTCTTAATAAAATATTTCAGTTGGAAGGGACCTACAATGATCATCTAGTCCAACTGGCACCAAGGCTATGGCCTTGACTTTTCTGGGTCACATCTGGAGAATATTAATAAAATTCCATTTTCATGTATGGTCATCAATGAAAGAGCTCAGATTTCAAAATGATGATGCTTTTTTGCACTATGTACTGAATTTACTGAAATACTTGTTTAAAGAGAAGCAGTTCTTCTGAGTAGACTCATACTGACTTTTGCAGTCATATTAAATTTATTTTCTAAACTACAGTGGATAAAACAAAATGCAAACTTCTGTTGACAAGTCATCCTTTTTGCACCTTGAAAGTCTACTTCCACAATACAGTGCTGGGAAAGAAATACCAGTGACAGTTTTGTTTCAGTGTCTTATATGACTTGGAATTATGTAAATATGTTCTGCTGACCTTAAAGTCTTTATCAGATGCTTTGTACTCTAAAAGGCACATATAAAACCTGGCTAGGCACTGAATTGACTAAGAGGACTTAAGTACAGACACTTGAGCTGCTTTTGAGGCTCTCTTCACTTTTCTGTAATAGTGATACTATTGCTTATTGCTGTAGGCCTGAATGCTATTTTGGGTTTCTTTTTTATCATTAGTAATTCTTTGGTCACTACGTGGCATCTTGTTTTTCTGCTGTGAAGGTCATCAACCATCACAGTGCTGGGAACTAATTTCTGGAAATGGGAAGGGTTGTAGTTGTATTTCATGCTATGCTGCTGTTTCTTCTTAAAACAGAACTGAAAACAGTCAGTCTTCCTCCCCCCCAATACACAATGTTTGTAATCACTGTGGACAGTTTATCAGTGATATTTACTCAATTCCTGATAAGCTTCAGCAGCACATGAAGCAACTCATCTGTGATTCCTGCGCAAAAGTTTTGAATGTCTTTCTAAATTTATGAAGACCTTAGGATTCGAAATCTGTAACTGAAGGATCACTGTTGTCTTCCTAAAGCTACATTTCCTCCAGTTCATAGTTTTAGCTCAAACTCTATAGTTCTAACAGTTTAATGTATTTTCTTAGTGGACAACTGGTAGTGGTGTTTGTATGTGTTTCTAATGCGGCGGGGGAGGTTTAATGTATTGTAAATTAGCTTGTTACCTGTAAATTGGAAGAACCCTACAGCTCATAGTATGAATATCAACTTTGTTTAATTTTTTTCATACTAGAAGTTTAAAATCTACTTGTGTTCATGTACTGCAGCACAGTACCATTGTGAATAAATCCATCCAAAGCTGCATCTTTAAAAATCTTTAATATTTTTAATCTAGTTTCACTCTAGAAACGTATTTGTCCAATCAGTCAACAGGACCGTTAAGTTAGAATGACTTGTATCAGATCCTGTTGTTGCCTTTGTGTAAAGAAAATGAAGATAAATGACAGTTTTTGAACATATTTCTTTTTTTTTTTTTTTTTGTTCTTTAATTAAATAGTAGAAAGTGGGAAGAGTTAAGAGTCAGTTTATAGACCATGCTTGAAGTTTCTTGCAAAACTGGCAGTAAGCCCCGTGGTTATCTGGGAAGGATGAGTCTTTATCTCAGAGGAGCTGCCTAGCATATCCTTTAGGGTGCAAAGGTTTTGTGTTGTGGTTTTTTTTATTCAGTCTAGCCATTAAGTAGTTGTGAGGAACAAAACCGGGTTTTGGGAAAGCAGGTGGCATTAATTTGCTTCCCCAGGAAAAACAGTTATGTTTCTAGATGACTGAAAAACACAAGAAACTGTATAAAGTTGCTTAAATACAAATATAAAGATGCTTTAAAAACAAATAAGAAAACACCTTTTAAAAAAAAAAATTGAGAATAAGATGAAATATGAAGGAGAAAATTTACCACTTCTTTTCCTTCTCATTTTAGGGTACAGTCAATGGTGTGCTGCTAGTGACGCCAAATAATATAATGTTTGATCCTCATAAAATGGATCCTCTGGTCCAAGAGAACGGCTGTGAAGAGTATGGCATCATGTGTCCGATGGAAGAAGTGATGTCAGCTGCTCTGTATAAGGAAATTGTGGACAGCAAAATTAAGGATTCATTAACCATGTAAGATAGAATAGTATTTATGAAGCTTTGAGTAAATATGAATTGTAACAATATTGCTGACCATACAAAACTAGCAAACCTACATCTTCTGTTGTTTCCCGTTTTAAGAAGATCAAAGATTGGCTTGGAAAGACCCTTGAGAAAGCTTGCTTTACCTTCAGTTCTTACATTCTATATACTAGATGGAATAAATCCTCTTCTATATACATGGATTCTAATTTCTTCCAGTAGTGTATAGCAAGAGGTACTACACCATTTCCTTTGTGTCTTTCCCACTATGAAAACAGCAACAAATACATTTTGATTCTTTTGTGATTTAAAAACTGATGTACAAAATAGAGAAGCCCAACTTAAACGGCTTTAGGTGCAAATCTTTGTTCTTTGCCATTTTCCTCTTGCTTCTCAAACTAGCTTCACATACCCTCTTGTTGCTCTGATAAGTGGTTGTAAGACTAATTTTCTGAGGTTTGTGTATGTTTCTATGGCATTAGGCCCTTTTTTGACTGGGGGAGGAACTGCATATTTGCCCTTAGGTGTAGCCTTGTTTAGGGTGAACAGAGTGAATTTGGATCAGTGAGCTTTAATTACAGGTGTTTAACACGGTAGGCATTTAAAACTGACGTTAAACAGCATTATGCAAAAATCTTTGTTCCATTCTGTCTGTTGCCTAATTTTTACACTGTCCTCAGAAATAGGATGAATTCTAACATTAAAGCCAAAAAGGATTTTAAAAAATAATAAATCATGCCACCTTTACCTATCACAGCCCATAAAGCACACATATTTGCAGACTACTTTGACCATCTCACTGCAGGGAAGTGGGACTCCTTTAACCAAGGTAGAGTTATCTATATGTATGAGAGAGTAAAGCTGTTTGCCTGATGTGTGACTCTAAAAAATGCAACCATTTTAAGTAATGTGTAAAGATACTCAGTAAGTCTGAAAAATGCCCTTTTACAGTAATTACAGGTAGTATGCTAAGCACATCTTTCTTGATAATCTTAAATATCTAGACACCCGTAAGATTTAACTTGTCTTGCACATTAAGTTCAGTTTCAGCAGAGACCTGGCAGTAAAGTGGTGTCTTGGCATGGTCTTGTTTGCTGGCTGGTCGTGTGTTTCCTGAAAGACCAACTAATGTATGTAGCTATAGTAGTGCTACATACTACTACTATACACTACTACTATAGTAGTGCTTTTGGGGCTGTTGATGTAGAATGATGATGCCTTCAGCGTGATTGCTTTCTGGAAGTTTATTTTCCAGATTGAGTTTTAAAACGTTACTCGAAGTTCCTACTTCAATTCATGTATAGTGCAGGTAATGAGACTATGAAAATTGGATCACTCTTTTTAATCTACCTATTTGAATCCTATTATTGCAGCTGCAAAACAAGTCTTTTTTCCTAGCATGTTTAGTTTCTTAATGACTCAGTGTTGACTTGCAGATTTACTTTCCTTACGCTGTTGATTTTTGTGCTCTTGTAGCACATGCATTTTCTGTTTTGTGGTTTGTTTATAATATAAAATGCATATGGAATGAAAACATGCCTAATAATAAAAGGTCGCACTGTGCATGCAGAGTCCCATATGTCCTATTTGATTTCTCTTTCTTGTAAACTTTATAATCTATTAAATGGAACACTAATTTCTAGTGTTTTCTTCAGTCCTAGCACTTCTATGCCTTAACCTCATCAAAACTTGAGGCGTGTGTTTTAAATTTTGGGGAGAATAAAATTCAAGTTTCTTAAATCTGTAACCAGAACTCCCAACAGCTTCAGCTAGATCTGACAAGACCTTCTGTCTGTCTCAAGGTATTTGAGACTTAAATCACGTTCTCCCACTACTTGTTTTTTTTTTTCTAAATATTCCGCTCTTATAATTAACCCTCTTTTCTTCTCCCAGTTTTGCCAACTGTTAAACCTGTTTAAACTTGGAAAAACAATCTGAATGCTGAAAACCTTATTGCAAAACTGATTGATTCTTTTAGTTCTTAAAAGTACAGTTTCATGTTGTATAGTTTCTGTGTATATGCCACAGTCTTTGCTGAAACTGGGAAAAAAATGTATCTGAAAACATACAGATACTTTACAGATTTCATGAACCTTAGGTTGAGCTTGTCCAAGAGCACCTATTACCAGCGCAATCTGAAAAATTAAGGAAACAGCCCAGTCTAATAGGTGATAAATCCTAAACTCTAATCTTCATGCTTTGTAAGCAAAACTACTACATCAGCACAAGCTTAATATCAGCTTCATGTTAACACTTGGGTAAAAGGGTGCATATGCATTGCAAACATCCTGAATTTTAGCAATGTCTCAGTGTTAGTAATGCAACCTAACTGGATAAAAAGTTTTGTAGAAATGTGGAGTGGATTTATCCTTCTTCAGGATGGGAGATTAAGGTACAAGCTTCTTAAAGCATTTGATACTGGGTAATGGGAGATGTAATGTGCTTGTGGTAGCAAGGGAGTTGGCATTGAGAACTCCTGTCAAAAGTATGTTTAAACATGAGAAATTTTTTTTACAAAGATTGTGTACTGCTCAGTTTTTTTGACAACACTGGAAAAGCTTGAGTCCTGTAGATACAGTTGAGGATGTTCACAGTCCCCTTTTAGTCCTCCTTTTCTAAAACTTGTGGAATTTCAGATTAGTTTGTTTTGAAAGGCAGGTTTGAATAAGATTATTTCCTTTGGGGAAAATAAGTTCCATTTTCATGCTTGCTTTTTTTTCTTACACTATTTATCAACATTTGTCTGTTCTTTAAATTGTTCAGTTGTACCAAGTAGTTTGGGATTTACTTTGCCTAACAGTGGTATCCTCAAAGTTAGGTACCTGACACTAATTACTGTTAGGTATTTCCCATGGGCAGAATGGTAAGATCTACCTTGATGGTTCCTGTTGTTCTGCATTGACTAGCTTAGGTAGTTAAGGTTAGACCAGACGATTTCTGCTATTCATTTCTTACCAGTGAGCTAGTTGTCAACTTCATAACAGGGTAGAACAGATCTATACAATTGTACTGGCCTCTTTGGTAGGCAAAACTTAAAAGATTATGGAGGGTTTCTACCTTCTAGAGATTATGGTTGTGTGTAGCTTTTTGTTGTTTTCCCCCTGTTTCTTTTATTTTATTTTCACACTGTAAGCATCTCAATCTTGTTGGTTTCATAGGAGAGCTTTTCCTTGCAAAAGTTATGTCATGAAGTTGGAAAGTCCTGTCTATGTCCTGCTCGCAAAAAGTCTATAAGCTTACTGTTACAAGAACAGATTTTAGTTTGTTTGGTTTTGGGGTGTTTTTTGTTTTAAGAGCACCTTTAATTTTTGTCGTCATTGATGTAAAATGCACCTGCTATAATAACAGTCTTATTTAATCAACAGAGATGTAGAACAGCTGTCTGTAAGGGAGCTCTGCCATTCCAAGAAAGCTGCAAAGAGCAATACAGATGAAATGGATTCCAGGATTCGGGATACAGGCAATGACAGTGCTAGTACTGCCCCAAGGAGCACAGAGGAATCACTTTCAGAAGATGTCTTCACGGAATCAGAACTCTCTCCAATACGTGAAGAACTTGTTTCCTCAGATGAGCTTCGACAAGACAAGTCTTCTGGAGCATCATCAGAATCTGTCCAAACAATAAACCAGACTAGTGCTGAATGTTTAACAATCATTTCAGACTCAAATGAAGCTGCCAGTGACTTAAAACTCAGTGCTGAAAGGGTTGTAAATGTTGAACAGTTTGGTACCCACAGCTTAGGTTCAGAAAGTGCTGCAATGACTATAAAGGGGGGACAAGAACCTAGTGAAAATATTGCAGATGTCCTCCAGCAGTCTTTACAAGGATCACATGGTACTGAAGAGCATGACAAAGAGGCAGAAGTAGGTGCCCGTCAAGATTCTTCACAAGGAAAAGAACCAGAAGGAGAGAGTAAGATGGGAGAGGAATGTCCATGGTGTGAAGACATCACAGACTCTGAAAAGAAAGAGACAACTAGCAAAGGAAAAGTAGTGAGAGGGCAAACTCAAGACTCAGAGACAGAAGTTGAAGAACTCCGCAAGCTCTGGAAGACCCACACTATGCAACAAACCAAACAACAAAGAGATAACATGCAACAGGATTCACAAAAAGAAATTAGTCAGAAAACTGTGACAGCAGGAGATGGGCAATTAGAAGGTGAGTCAGTCAGTATTTATGGATACAGTGTTAGCCTTCAAACTTAGTCTTGCTCCCTCCAGCTCAACAGAACTTTTGTTGTTTTTCATTCTGTAGAACACATCTCTCCATGTATTGCTTATATTTCTCATTGGCTTGATGATACACCTAAGTTATACCCTCTGTAAATCAGTGGGGAAAATACTGCTCAGGAAACTGAAAACGTGGATCCCTTTTTTACTGTCATTTTTTCTCACTGAAATTATATTTATGAACATATTAAAACGCGATATCTTTGTAGGGGAGATTTAAATGAGCCTGTAAAATTAGATCCATGATGCAGTGATAACTGTAGAGCTCAACATTAAAAATGTTCCTTAGCAGTCAGCTGGCTGTCACTTAAATTTTGATGCCGCTGTCCATGTGCAGGAATGAATTTCGGGGAAATTAATTTCATCTTAGTTATAGCATGTCTACCTTGTGGTTAAGGTTTTTTATGTGAGTAACAAACAGTGGAGACTTAACATCAATAGTTTCAGAACTTTGTTTCACTTTCATCTTGTTGTACTTTTATGCTGACTGGAACAAAAATCATTTATCAGGTTAAATAAGAGCTAGATGGTAAGAAACTAATGCTATGAATATGGGGAACAGCTAGGCTTATTTCTTAGTACCTTTACTTGTCTGCAGAGATCAGGCCCTAGGATTATTAGTTGGAAGTTATCTTGAAAGTCTGTTGAATTTACTCAATTCAAATTAAAAGAAAAGTTATGTCTTTAACTTAAAGATGTTTCTGTATGTATTTGATTTTTGCTTTTTAAAAACCAATAGGTCACCCTCTGGTGCCTTACCATCTTACTAATGGAGATGAACTAATTGTTTTAATTGTGTGATATTTTGTCAGCTACAAAGAAAACACATCTCTAATGCCTATCACAAACTATTATAGATTATATATGGAGTGAAGTTGAAGGTCAGATTGTTTATGTTAATAGTTAAAAGTTCACATTGCACTGAATAGAGAGGTGCATTCTCTGGTTGACAGAAGTTCATCTTATGTTTCAGAATATGATAGCTTTTACTGGGTTTTTTATTTTGTGTCTTTCTGTTAAGGAAGTAACTGAAATTTTGAAAATTGAAGCAGATTAATAGTTGCATCATTCTGTGATAAGTTTGGCTCTCGTGCCTTAAATAATAGTTGCTGGTTGGGGCTTATAAAAAGTGCAAGCACAAGTGTTCTTTGCCACAATTTCTGCTTTTCTTTCAATTGAATATTATTTGTAATTCAGTTGTATTAGATGCTTTAGTTTTGTGGGCTTTATAAAAGATTGTATCATTGAGTGACACTGCAGGTTTTTCATGCAGGATGTTTGTACAGTCACAGAGTATGTATGTATATAATCAAAAGAAGTGTCTGCATACAGTCAGACAGAGGGGTGCTGGCTAGAAACTTTCTGCACGTGGTGTTACAGCTTCCTGAAGGTTGTGGGGGTAAAATAGAAAGAAAAATAATTAAAACAAAAAAAAAGGGGGGACGGGACGGGTGGGGGGTGAATTTAAAAAAAAAAAAAAAAAGCAAAGGTTACTTCTTGGAGATTTGTGCCAATGACCTCAGTCAAACTTCAGTTGGAATTACTGTATGTTTCTTATTCTTGCATGTTGTATTAGCAGAATGCAAATAAAACAGTAAATTATGATTTAATATTTCTCTATCTAAATAGATTTGGTGACACTTATACTGGCTTTGTCTACAGGCAAGTTTAAATAGAGCCAAGATAAAAGCATTGATCTATTGCTTAACTTTTGAAGCTCACCAAAGACTAAATATGACAGGTCTATTAACAGTAGTAGGTCATTAAAAAAATCAAAACACTGTTAACATTATCTAATACCCTGTCTGTCAGACTCTGAAGTAGTCATACTGTGAGTTTTGTATCATTAAGTTACCTAGATAGGACTTTTTATCTCCTGCATATAGAAGGACTTAGTTGAATTTGTTCTCTTTCATGGGAATTTTGAGCATCTAGGTTTTTGGGAACTACCATTTGTTGATCTTCAGAGGTCAAATGTTTCTGGGTTTGGAATTAATGATTTATTCGCTCTGAATGTTGAACAGGTGATGCAATGTAAGTTGATAACTATGAGTAGTCTAAAACACCTAAAAAGGCCTCCCTTGGGATTTTTTTTTTAATTACTCACAGTGGTCTTATTCTATTCTATTTTTAGAGACCCTTAATGTTGACCACTGGACTGAAATAACAGCTAGATGTAGTTGATACTTTGGAGAAATACTTTTGTATGTATAACAAGCTGAAATATCATTAAAGATAGCATGTGTTTTGCTGCTTAACTACGTGGATATTGGCCAGGATTGAAAGCGGGGGAAAAAAGCATGTCACACAATAGCCACTACTAAAAACTTCTTTTCTGATGAATTCTGTATGAAATATATACCAAAATCCCAAATACCAGATCATTTTAAGAATACCTCTCTATCACCATTGCAAAGTTCATGTGTCAGTCCTATGAAACAGGTTTTTTGTTTATTTTGGTTTCTTTTTGATTTTCAGGTTTTCTATCTGACAATTTACCTTTCAGCTTGTGGGTTTATAAAATACTTCCAAATTATGCATATTATGACTAGTCTACCATACTGTATACTGCAGGTATAATTCTAAAATATTCTAACTGCAGATTAGGAGGTGCACATGTAAATACTTACTGAAAAAATAATTCTTTTGTGGACCAATGCTATTCTAAACTTTGTGGTGAAAATCTGATTGAGAAAACATATAGTAGAGATGTTCACAGTTCAGGAAGGGGATGTTTTCTGTGCTTAGTGTAGTGATAGTCCGCATATACACTGAAGGAGAACTTCAGCTGTAGAGAAAAGATCAGTGTCCTAGGAAACTGGGACATATCTGTAGGTACATGTAACACCAGAAGTAGGTTAAATCTTTTGTTGTCACAGCTGATCATAAGAATTTTTAAATTTACATTTTTCTTTCCTTTCTTTAAAAAGTCTCTTGTGGCTGGAACTCATGTTGTAGGACTTGGGCAATTAATCTACCAAAGAAACAATTTTGAGAAGGCTTCTTCCTTTACCTTGTGCTGACTTGACAATCCAAACCTTGAGGGTGGTTATAATTCTATTAGTTCAGTTAAATGTACTAGTGGAGGGGAAAAATCCCATGCCTTAACATCCAGAAGTGATGTTCATACCTTTGAAGTGTTTGATATAGCTAACAAATTAAAATTCATCTCAATCCTCTACTAGTAGTGGCAAAATTTTTCTTTTTTAAAATGAAAAGTAACTAATGAGCAGCTTTGACATATGTGAATCAGGCCTAAGTACTTATTTAGTGCTGTATCTTTTGCCTGTGTGTGGAATATATCGTTTTAACAGTGGGAGGAATGTCTGATTTAGTGTTGAGTGATATGCACTGAGAATACCTTCTGCAATACTTTCAAGTATGGATGAAAGATTCTCGTAATGCGATCTGAGATTGGAAGTGGAAATTAATGTTAGAATTATTCAAATGTGTTGTACTTTGAAGTTAGTTCTGCTGATGCAATTTATGCAGCAAAAAAAGGCCAGGTAATTACTACTACCTGTTACCTCATCTCCTATACTTGTTTATACATTTTTCCTATATATCTGTATTGCCTAATACAAAATTGGCTAATAATTTTGTTAAGCTCTCTTGTGCATTATGGATAGCTTGCTTTTTCTTTACTAATAGGTTCTTCACTTACGAAAGAAAAAAGACGACATCGATCTCACAAGTTTCTGCGTCTCAGGGTTGGAAAACCCATGAGAAAAACATTTGTTTCACAAGCAAGTGCATCAATGCAACAGTATGCACAAAGGGATAAAAAACATGAGTACTGGTTTGCTGTCCCACAAGAAAGGTAAGAACGAGGTAGACTGTATGTGTAAAAAAACAAACAAAAAAAACAAACAACAAAACAAAACAAAAAAAAAACCACCACAACACCAACCCAAAAAGAAACCCCACACACAATAGGTCTTTGAGCTCCTTTTTTTTTCTGCACCATTCAAAATTTTTCAGTGACTGTGTCTATAAAGCAACACAAAAAAAGGTCAGCAACTGAGGATATTGAAGATTGGCTTAACACTGAAATACCTTACTACCATACCAAAGTTTTACTGATTTACTTCAGTTACTTGCAGGTTCAGCCAGCAGTTTCTCATGGTATTATTTAGGCTTGTGTTTGTAGCAAGTAAAAAACAAAAGAGATTCAAGTAAGTGGTGTCTCGTGAAGGAAGTGAGTTCTGCAACAAAGTTTTTATTGTCATTATCTGTGCTTCCCATGATTTGGAAACTTTCTAAAATTTGCTCTACTTCTTAGAACTCTGAGTTCAGAAGAGCTAGCTGGGGTTCTTTTGTCTTATCTTATATGGTACATAAAACTTTCCCAGGAAGCAACTTAAACATATATACTGGAAAAATATCTAAATTTGTTGCAGTGATTCAAAGACGTGAGATGTCCATGCTCACTCACTGATATTGAATTCTTAAATGATCTCTACTGTTAGGAAACTGTGACTTATTTTCAAGTTGAACGTAATTTTTGGGGTTATTGGAGATTACTATATCCTTTTCAGAAGGTGGGGGGAAAGAAAGAAACAACAACAAAAAACTATCAGCTATCATCTTGTATAAATACCTACACAAAATGATCAAGTCACTTTTCCATCTTTTCTTTTGAGCTGAATGGCATAGAATGTCCAGTTGGGGCACTGCAGTTGAGGACAGATATGGATCAATTGGAGAGAGTCCAGAGGAAAGCAGCAAGACTAATTAATGCCTAGAAAGTGTAACATATAAAGAAAATTAGAAGTAAGTGGGGTTCTTTAATCTAAAGGAGAAAAGGTTGATTACAAACGTAAAATCATTTCATTCTTAAAAGTTGGCTGCAACGAGAAAGGCAGTAGTCTCTTTTTCGTGTCCACGGTGAATCGATATGTGATATGGATTGGAATTACATCAAAATATTTGAGTTTTCCAACAGGCAGAATTGAGTCTATGCTAGCACATCACTACCCTGCTTTTAAATATCACCCTTGCTGTTCCTAAGTGGTGGAGATTATGCAATTTCATGAGACAAATGTCTGTCACACTGGTTCTGCATAGCTAATCCTGTCTGGGCCAGGTGACCTCCTGTGGTTACAGTCAACTCAAATTTTCTTGTTCCATTCATTTCATATTTAATTTGAAAATGGATAAATATTTCACGTATGGCAGTGATGTCTAGGTCAGCTGATTAAAATGATTGCTGTCTCTTTGGTTCATTTCCTAATGTATCAGAGCAAGTACAGTACCTCTTTTCAGCATAAAGCAGAATTTATCACCTATTTCAGAAGAAATAGTTCTTGGTTTATAGTCTGTATCTGATCTCCTTGGAAATTACTCCACCTATGAAGGGTTTCTTTCTCTTAACTGCATGGGGAATTAGTAATCTGTTCTTTATCCATCCAATGTGTGTCCTATGTTTTTGTACACAAAGTCACATGTGGTGGTAGTTGAGTGTTTGTTTTCTTAATTCAGTGTTAACCTTGCCGAGTGCTACTCTGAATAGGCCAAAATATGTAGTGTCAACCCAGTTGTCTTTGTCAACTAGTGGTAAGAAAGAGGAAAAAATAGATATCTGACAAACCTGCATTATTTCAGTGTTCTTCATACCAAATGAGCCAGTCTGGAAAGGAGTGTCTTAGAGTTCCTTAAACATCAAGTTTAATTTACTTCTTTAACTGCTGTAATTATTCACAATTTCAAGTTCTTAAAAAGTTAAAATCATGATTTTTTTTAATGTTCCTACTTGTAAGACTTTATGAAACTTGTACCTTATTCAGTACATGAGGAGTTGGCAGCTTCTTGTTGTGATTGTCGTAGAATTTATCTAACCTTATGCATCTGAAATGTTTTATTCTCTTTTACTGTCAGAGAAGGATTTGTCTTTTTTTCCTTTCATCAGTGTTATCCAGAAACCTTAGTTTTAACAAGGGTGCCTTGGAATAACTGACCCTCTTCAGAGACTATTACTACATACCTGTGTGCTGCATACTTCTAGACATAGAGGTGTATGAAAATTATAGCTGCATTTTTGTCAGACTTTGCTGCTCTGTATCTCTTGCTGTTCTTCCAGTGTTAAGTTTGGCAGGGATTTAGTAAGGAGCAGGAAAAAATAAAAATCCAATACTGTTCTTCGTGCTAATCCAGTATGCAGATTCACTATAGCAAATATCTCTGAAGAGGGACATAAGGAATGTTCAAACTCTTGGTAACCGGAGCCATGAAGTTCTAGCTCAGAAGCTCTCTTTTCCATGAAGATACACTAGTGGAGTCACTGCATGTCCTTTTTCTAAATGCTTCATCTATCTGCGCACCTACAGGACATGCCGAAACAGTATAAACTGACATCTTTTAGGGTTGTAAATAACTTTCTTCTGCAAATTTGGTCATTTTGTTCTTCCAAACTGGAGAACCATGCCATTTGTTGCAGGTAACTTAAAAGGAGGTAACTTTGAATCTTGGTACTTGCTGCAGTACTACAGTTAGAATGGTCTGTAGTTTATGATGTAGCTATCTATATGCACACTTTCAGCCTTATTTCCTCATGTCTGTAAGTAATTCTCACAGTCTGTATAATTCTGGTTACATGTCTTGGGAATGTTAAGCTCTTCTTCAGGGGTGGGGAGAACAGACATGCAGACATCTTTAAAATCCAGTTTTGTTTGTGCTTTTATGTAACTTTTTAAATAAAATAAAAGATCTTAGTGTTTTATTTTGGAAGTTATTTCAACTGTAAACAGAGATTTCCGGTGGGACAGAAGTGGTTAAAGGGCCGTACTTGTACATGCGAACACAGATAGTCAATTGCCAACTTGTTTCCTGTTTTTCCTACAGTGTCAGCTTCATATAATTAAAAAGAAACAAAAACCTAACAAGCTTTTTTCAAATGTGTCTCTAATATCTAGTAAAACATGAAATAGTAAGTATTTTCACTTTAAATACTTCATAATTATTAGACATCACTGAAAAGATCACAAACTTACCATCTTTTTCTTTTCTGTATCATTACTTGACTTCTCTAGGACAGATCACTTGTATGTCTTCTTTATCCAGTGGAGTCCAGAGATATATGCAGAAGATACTGGGGAATCTCTTCGGGAACCTGGATTTATAGTGGTAAAAAAGAAGGAAGAGCCTGAAACTAGTGAAGAATCTACTACTGAAGATGCTGCTAAAGAGTGGGAGGTAAGGAAGAACAGTGTCAAAGACTTTTTTTTTTTTAAATTCTTTCATAGGAATATAGTTAAAGGAGTGTTAAATACTTTCCAGTAAGAAAAACAAAGCGATGTCTTATATTAGTCTGCTTACTATAATCATGACTGTTTAATTAATGCCATCCTAATGCTCTGCTCTAACACCAGTGCAGGGCAACACTTCACAATTGCAAGTCATTTTTGTACGGAGCAAATTGTAACTGAAAACTTGGAGTTGAAAGGAATATGAATACAGCAAAGAAGTTGCAACTTTGATGAAGCAGACTTTAGTTTTCAGTCAAGTAAACTGACAGTTTTCTAGTATTCGGGTATATTCTGTACCTAGAATGTTGAGTAACCTCAACCTTACCATATTGGTAAGTCTCAAAAGAGGGATGAGACAGCAAAAAAGGAAAATTAACCTATTAATGACACGTTTTTCCAATAATCCAGTAATTAACTTCTCAGTTATAACTTCTTTATAACGTAAGCAGAATTAAGATGCTGTTGCATGGATTTTAGTAATACACTGTAACTGGAACTCTATCTTTTTTTATAACAAACACATTTCTCCCATGTGAATCTGTGTCCACTGTGCTTCTATGGACACTTCTTTACATGTCTACGTGGTTTTGTTTGTAGTGTACATACAGTTAAAGCACTTGTAGTCTTGTGCATTCAAGTGTCAGTCAAAAGTTTGATGATTCTTGTCATATATATTGTGGAAGTATCTCATCAGCACAGTTTATCTTGGGTCTCAGGACAACAATTGCAATCTCCGACTGTAAGACTGATTTTTGCTTTTTCTTCCTCCTGCCCCACCCTGCAATGGAGCGTGTTGAAATTAAGTCAGTCTATAGCTGTGTTTTATGTATAGTGTAAAAGAATATTTTTTTAAAACTACAATAGTCTAACTTTGGGCAGTAGTTTTCTTTTTAGCTCCAAAACTTAGAATCAAACTCTGACTTGGAACTTCTCACTTACTTCGCTGAATTATTAGGCTGTGGTTACAAAACACTATCTGTGCAGCTCAGTGATTTCCCATGGAGTATTTTTGCTTTAAGACATTGAAATTAGTGCCATAAAAGTATGTCTTTTGAATCTTTATGTTTCAGGCATGTTTATTGCTCAGCTGTTGTTACCAGCAATGTATTTTGGTGTTGACTCTTGCTCAAGGCCTTTAAAAGTATTTGATGTTTTAAAACTTGGCCTTTTGGAACGTGGGATCAGTGGCAAGTGATCAACGTTATGATTTAAGGCACAGTATGTGTCTCTTCTAATGAGCTCTTCAGTAACTTTGCACTTTAATATAATTACAGAACAGTTTCCACAGAAAATAGTGCAAACTTTTCTGCAGAATTAAATGTTGTAACTTTTCAGGAGTTATTTCTGGAAATAGTAGAGGCATTGCTTTTCCTACATGTATTAAAATCTGTAAGTTTTATTTACTACAGAATGAGGTTATCCCTTAAGCCTTTATTTAGGTGTCCTCTGGAAACAATTGTAGAAGACATATTACAAAAATATTGTTATGTCCATATCTGTTATGTGAAAATTATGTCAAGTTTGGCTCTCTTGATCCAAAAATTTTCTGGATGTAGAAGTTAGTGTGATTAGTAAGATGGATAACTTTTTCAACAGTATGTTATGCAAGTACAAGAAATATGCTAATCTTGTCTTCCGTGCATTTTAACTTAAGTAATGTGACTTCTTATGACTGACTTCTAGCAGAAATCTGAAAGCTGTTAAAAACTAACTTTTTTATCAGAAATGTTTGACAGTACCAGATGGTTCAACCTGTCATTACGTACATCTACATTTTAGTGGCTCATATGTGCCAGAAAGTATCAATACATACCAGGGAATTATAGCTGCTGTTGTCATACCCATTATTCCCATTGAATTTTGGTCATTATTTTCAGTCAATATACTTCCTTCCTTTAACCCAACAACCTTTTTATCTGTCAGCTCTTGATCTAGGTGTAATCAAAGCTAGCAGGTGAACAGTGTCATTGAAACTTTTTTGTGGATATTGGGATGAAAAATAGACAGTCTTCTTCAGAACATGGTTATAGGGAAAACTCAGGGTGGAAGGGGAATGGAAATCAAAATCTTGATGTATGAATGCATCACAAAGTACTATTGATCTACCAAAAGAGGAAGCTAATGGAGTAGCTTTCTTTTCCAAAAAAGTATTCTCTGCTATTGTTGTACAGTATCTTAAAACTGGAGAAACAAAGAGGAATAATAGGTTAACCAGGCGTGGTGCTCTGAGGCAGCTTTTGCTTCTTGGGTCCTATGTTAACACATTCAGTTGCAGCCTCTTATCAAGAGACTTACCGAAGTATTGTGCTGCTTTTTTTTTAGTGGAAAAGGAATTATCGGAAGAAGGATCAACCAAACGTATCAGTAACATATGAAACAAGTAGCAGGGGTTGGTTTATACGTTTATTAAATGGATCAGTGACGAGGACTGAACTCTTACTCAACTGACTCAGTTTTTTCATCTGCTTATGCTTTCTTCTTCTACTTTGTATACAGAGTAGTCTGCTTCCTATCAGCCTTTTACCAGAAGTAATCCAGTAGATGTAACCTCAGCTGATCTAGTGGCAAAGACATCAAGATTCCTGCT